AATTTCTATACTTAATTAATATATTATAAAATACTTTTACATATTTAAAAGTTTAAGTTTTAAATTCCTTTATGAATAAATAAATACAATGTTTATATATATATTAAATATTAAATAGAAAATCTCTATGTCTGGTATCTGTTTCCTATACATTTCTAGATTCTTGAACCAAATTTTTCATAGTAACTCTTTAGGATCCTATGGAATATATACCTACTCTACTAAACCTGAACAATTCCTAAGTTTATCCCCTTGATACTATATAATAATTTAAGTTTAATACATTATTACACAAGTTAGAAATGCGTGATGATTAATAAAGATGCCATACAGTTACAAATCATATACTTAGTGATGATTTCAAAGAGTATAAGATCTTCTAGATTTAAAAGCTGTGCTAAAATAATGCTGTTAATATGAGTTGGACTAAAATAAACAATCTTTTAATAAGGTTTCAATTTTAATATTTGTTTTTATGTCTTTTCAATTGATAAAACACTTGCAATATGCTATTAGTTTGTANGGAAATAATTTAGAAAAAGCGTTTTTTTTATAATGTTTTATACACATTCTAGCTGATTTCAATGCCATAAAAACATAACCAGGATAATGTTACTGAGAAATAATAAATAGGATAACCTTTATTGTGTTCATAATTTGTTCTTAAATATTTGTAAAATATATGAAATAAATAATAGGTTGTACTCATTTCATACATCTAACAAACTATAATATAATTTACAATACATAACCTACAATTTATGCACTCTAGCTTTCAAATATCCGTTAAAATATAAAAGTGTTAAAGTAATTACGTTTAACAGAATATCTGACAATTGAAACTTTTGAATATTTATGTGTTCTAAAGGAAGTAAAGTAGGTAGATCGCGAGTATTGAGGCTTCAGTGAATAATACAAAGTAGGACAACTGTAAATATACTAGCTTAATGCACATTTATATAGACTAATATAAATGCTGTTCATATCATAATAATCTACATAATTAATTCTAATAAAAATATAAACCTATACAGGTATTTAATAACCCAAACTATACAGGGACCAATAAGTACAGTACATTGACCAATCATTTTGCGTGCCTACGAGTATTTTTATCACCGTTCTTCGTGCCATTTTCTTTTAGAAAATGCCGTTCTTCACTTCAGAAATCATATTTATAATCTATAGAAACATAAAATCTGCTGATGTAACCGAATTATCCTTTACATTGTTCCATCATACGCAGAAAGAGTATTAGTAAATATCGATTGAACTATTTAAACATATCACTAAGAAGCATTTTCTTGTAAATATTACTTACATAATAATATTCCCAATTATGAACGTCATTTAAATACATCTAATTATAATTTATATACACTTAGGCCTATAAAATTAGATTAAATGCATTTATAATGTAGGCCACTTAATTTTAATACGTAAACAGGCAATATGGAAATCGCTGATAATGAACAAATTTACTGCCTTTAATATTTTATATAAATTAATATAAAGAGTCAAAAATAAGAGAATAAATGTTTTAAATAGACTTCTTAATTATATTAGTTATTGCTTATTTGAATTATTAAACTAAATTTCAGAAGCAGTTATCACAAAAATGCATGATATAAATTACTTTGGAAGGTGCAATTTAATGCTTAATTTCTCTTAATTAAACATTGTATAAATCTCTTCAGTTAAAGTTATGAAAATATTATAAAAATATGCAAAAATTTTTAAATATATATTTATACATTCTCATGTTTTTCAATTACTAAAAGTGACCATAGTAATTAATTTTATTATCAGTTAAATACAGTAAATCAGGATTTAGATTCTAAGTTACAGTATAAAAGACTTTTCCTCTCCACCAAAATTAAAAAGCATAAGGCCTTAAATTATTCTCATAATATATCCCCTAAGCTGTTAGGTATGTTTAGTTTAGGTGTAATTTCTGCTCTGACAAAAATAATTATTTTCTGTTAGAGATAATTTCTTTTTTACAGAAATATGAAGTGTGGGTTATGTCAATGATATATAAAAAATCTATAAAGTAAAATAAAGTGACTTCAATTTGGTAGATAAAAGAAAGAAACGACATAGGCGTGAAATTCGAGTAAGCACTCTTGTAGGGGAACATCGCATAGAGAGGGGAGAAGACGTATAGGAGGAAGATACAAATATAGAAATTTGTGACAAGTCAAAAAGTATTGTAGGGGTGAGATTCGAGGAAATGTTAAATATTTATAAAGTATACTCCCCGCTGACATCATTAATTACTATGACGCTTTCACTTTGATCTGAGTGTGGAAAAGTGTTCCAAGCTGGCGAGGTTACAATATAAATTATAACGTTTCCAATTAATAATTAGTTAATTATAGAGTAACATATTTTATTCCCAATTACTAATTAAGAATATAAACAATTTGCAAACGAATTGTTAATCATAACGCTAACTTCTAATCAATTTTTTTCAGGATAATAAGAGCTAAGGCTATATAATAGTTTCAATTCACGACATAACGATTTGCCACAGTTATTTCAAAGCAAACTGGTTATATAATACAATTTAAACTGGCCTGTTTAAATATATAATTGTTTAAACAGGCATTATCTGTAAACGTCGCGCGGACACTAAATCACTATAACGTGTGATTTACAGTATATACAATACTTTCTCTTTGTAATTTTTAAGCAAAAAAGATTCTTACAATATTTGCTGTAATTATCAGTCTTATCTGACTTTATTATTATTCAATATTTTATATATAATTGAATGAAGCGACGTTACTACGCGTTCAGTCTAGGGATGCTTACAATTATTAGTACAGTCGACCCCCTATAACATTGTTGATAATTCCGTTTTATATGAATTCCATGTTGTACGAGTCACTTAGATTTTACAAATACGTGAGCCGTTCATAGCCCGGCACAAGTATTTGTAAAATCTAAGTGACTCGTACAACATGGAATTCATATAAAACGGAATTATCAATAGCGTTATAAAGTGGTCGACTGTAAAAATAAGGGCTTTCAATTAAAAAATTGTTTTTATTTATTATATATATTTATTTTGAATATATAAATGTTATTTTTTAATTTGAGCATATAATAAATTTTATTTTTCGCATGGAATTTTCAGATTTAATCCGGAACTGCTACAATATTTGTTAAAGAAATGATTGGAGTTGTGCCAACATTATCATATTTTTGTTAAAGATCTAAAAGTTTTCTGTGTTTATTCATAGAATTGTTAGTTATACATTTTTATTGTTATCGTTTTGTAAAAATTCGCACGTTATTGCATTTGTAATTTATTATGTTTATGTTTTATTATTATGTTTATGCACCTAATGTTTAATAAATTTGATCATGTGGTTTTCATGTTCCGAGTTAACTATATAAATCATTGTAACTAAACCTTATAAAGTTAATGCATATAAATAAATCTGTAGTGCTCATAACTGTGGTTTCATAATTTGAAATTTCTTATGGTCCATGCCACACGAATTATGAATTCGCATGACGTGTGCCACATGATTTATGAATTGTGGAATCATTTATGCCTCCCATACCTTTATAATGTGCATGATTTAAGTCTGTGGTTCTAAAGGATCGTGGTTTCTAATTTGGGATTTTAAGTGGGATTTTAAGTGGTACACGTGGTTTACAAATCACGTATGCCACACGAATTGTACTGTGGAATTAATTTTAAAGACGTCTTTAAAATAAGGCTAATGCATATACACGGAGTTGTGGTTCCCATAATTGTGGTTTCACAATTTGACACTTCGTGTGGCCCATGCCACTTGAATTATGCGTGTGCCACATGATTTACGAATTGTGAAATTATTGTAAGTTATCTCCTAAATCTTTATAAAATTATGCTAATGTGCATGAATTAAGTCTGTGGATTTCAAGAATCGTGATTTTTAATTTGGGATTTAAGTGGGATTTCAAGTGCAA